AAATTTCCTAAAAGTCGGTTATGGTTTCATAATAAATTACAGTGCAGATTACATGTAAAACGTCAATTTCAAAATATCCCCTCAATGTGAACAAAGAAATATTACTTCATTTGTTATGCATCTTTATGCACCATGGATCATTCTCACACAGACTAACTTGGATTTAACAAAATTATATTCAGTAAATGTAGTGATTAATGCAATTTGCTTCGCCTTTACGAAATGAGGCATTTATCGGATTTAAGGAACATAATCGCACCTAATAGGTTCTTTAAATCAAGGTTATACTGTATATGCTTACAAAAGATATACACCCAATAACTCTTTTCTCAATTTCTGATGAGGCAACTCAGCTAAAACAAGGAAAGACAACCCCGATTCAAAAGTCGATTCATTTACAAATAAAATCGCTAAAAAAGAAAAGAATCCGTGACTTCTCTTCGACATAATATTAAGAAATGTTTAGAAAATTTATCAGCAAGTATAAATCTTGTGTATTCTTTTCTGCTTGCGTGTTGAGGGCTTTATGTCAAATTATTCGAAGTTCACCCAAAAATTGTACTTTACTTTAATAGACTTGAAGCTGGTCTTTTAAATTTTCACTCGAGAAGATTTTATCTTATAAGTTTCGGTTGTAATTAATTTGAATGTTTCTTTTTATTTGTAATTTTTTTCTAATCTCTAGAATTTTTGTATATCTCTGGACATATGTAACCATACGTGTATTCATTGGCTGTGTGTGAGTATGTGCGCGCGCATGTACGTGTGTGTGGTCTTTCTAACAATCTAGACCGAAAAATTCTTAGGTAAATATTTAGAAGATTTGGTTAAAAGTGTGCAGGCATCCAACTCGCTCGGTTTGATGTGTACCTATACGCTTGCATCTGAATAGGTTTCAATGTTTGTGTGTGTTAAAACATTTTTTGTTGTTTCTTTGGACGACAGTTGGTGTGTTTGGATGATATGTTTTTGTGTGGAAAATATATTTGCACGGAGATACATTTCTGAATTGCTATACGTACGCACATAAGAGCGTACACACGAGGTGTGACAATTCAATTCCTAGAATGACCATAGTATATCGCTGGCGATATGAATCAAGAAAACATTTTTTACTTGAGCACATTCGAATATGTTCAAACTTGCGCTTTCTTGAGACGCAAGCCAGCTAGATCAGTCAGTTGTTGCCGAGCAGTAGAGGAAGTTGCAGGTGTTCATGTCAAACTGTTGGCGGAAAATGAATGAGAGGAATATAGAGGAGAAGATTAACATCAAATTTTGTGCGAAGATTCATAAAAGTGCAAATGAAGCTGGTCCTATTAAAAATGGCTGATGTTGACCATGCAATGAAGAAGTCAAATGTTTATGAGTGACACAGGCCGTTCAAGAAAGAATACAAATGACACAAGAAATGGACAGCCAAAAACAAAAAGAACAGATGCAAATGTGGACAGAATGCAACCTTGGTGCACTCAGATTTAAGTTTAAATGTGCAACTGCTAGCAGAACAATTGTATATGAATTAGGGAAACAGTGATAGATTATTTAAGTTCTGGCGACACAAGTTCTTGATTCATAGTTGTTATGGCCCGGTTATGTACCACGGTGATAGTCCAAGGTAGAACCAATAAAGAAGAACTCGAACACAGGTATGGAATAACACAGATATATTACAAACAGGAATATATACAGGGAAGTAGAAGTGTTAGTATGAACAATCAGGTTTAGTAGAGAGAACAATGTAGTCTCGACCAGTATCACTATTTCAATGCCTTGCAGTAATTGTCTGAACGCGACTCTGTTTCGGACTGCTGCTGACTCGACTCTTGACTCGACTTGAACTACTAACTGATTTGAACTACTGACTCCTTGCCTACTCCTGAGGCGCAGTATTTAAGTATGGAATAGTCCATTATTATTATTATTGGTAAGATCCCATAACAATAATAAACATATTCTCACTCTGACGCTTGGTTCAATAAAAAAAGCACTTGATTTATTTATATATGATGATAATAAATTAAAATTCTTAAGCAGGAATTTACAAAATAGAAATACATAGAAGCAACATCTTCTTTTCTATGTGCCGTCTCCCATCAGGACGTGGGTAATCAGGGTTCTCTACATATCCCTCTCTCTGTTTTTTTCGCTATCTCTCCTATGGTTCTGCCAAACATTTACACCAGCTAGGTAACACCAGTAGGTTATACCCTGCTTTTCTGTGCCTATCTGCAATTTTAATATACCTTGTCAGTGTCACTTTTTCTAAGTCCTCTTTCCTCATTAAGTGCACTAGGAATTTCAACTCTCTCTTCAACTGATGTTAAGTACAAGTGTCCTTTTTGCTTCTATTTTAGCTAAAACTTCGTCATGTCCAATCCATGGTATTCTCAACATCTTTCAGTAGAACCGCATTTCTGTTGCATCAAGTCTGTTTTTCATCTTTTTCATCTGTCCAGCTTTCGCTGCCATATACGAAGATCGATATTACATAAAAATACATTTCTTTTTTTCTCATGAAATCTCCTCAAATAACCAAACATCAAAAGTGTTTTTCGATCCAAAACATTTACAACCTCCTCTCATATATATATATATATATATATATATATATATATATATATATATTTGAGATTAAAACAAAAACATGTGAAAAATTGCTACACAATAGATTTCATGTTTTAGTACACAAATTGTGCTACCTCACCATAGCGATGTAAGCGATTCTTAAAATGTTTGTATATATATATATATATATATATATATATATATATATATATATATATATATATATATGTGTGTGTAAATGCATATATATTGTAAATAATATATATATTATATATATATATATATATATATATATATATATATATATGTGTGTGTGTGTGTGTGTGTGTGTGTGTGTGTGTGTTTTAGTTGTATGGATGTGAGTTTGCCTGGGTTTCACGGTGAAACCCAGGCTTACAAACTCATTCCATGCAACTAAGGAGCTCTATCACTGATACTGGGGCTTTCAGTAAGTACCGGCATATATAATACATATAGAAATTATATATATATATATATATATATATATATATATATATGATTTGACGCTTGGTTTGTTTTTTGCGATCGTCATATATTATATATATATATATTTTATATATATATATATATATATATATATATATATATATACCGATATTACATAACAATTTAGAGCTCTTTTTCTTTGTTTCTGACGATATTTCCCAGTTTCTCAATAATTTGTTTAACTTTTCGAAGGTATCATTCTATAGGTATCATATCTATGCATTTTCGCTTATTTGTTAAAACATTTCCTAGATATTTCAATTTTTGTACTTGCTTGATTTTGGCATCTCCAATTTCTAATTTACATGTTTTTTATTTTATTTATTTATTTAAAATTTGCTCACTGCCAAACAATGTCTTCTTACAATTTATACTTAGTCCTTTTTTCACGCTTTCGTTCATTATCTTCTCAATTTTCCTTCCTGTGTTACCTACAAGGAATCCCTGTATTTTTCTTTCGGAGTCAGGTACAAGGAGTTTAAATAAAAGATTATATGCTCGCAAAAGGGATTTTACAAAACAATACACACAATGCCTTAGTCGTTCATCTTAATAAGTCTGACCATAATTTCAACTCGTATTGAAAGGCCACTTATTTCAATGTCGTCTGTGGTCTGTTTACGTCCCTAATATTTACGTCCTATAATATTTACGTCTTATACTTACAGACACACACATTTTATTTTTAGTGGGTACCCGTATTGGAGTAGACGCGACATTTTTCAAAAAATTATTATTTCATCTACCAGCCTGCGCACTCGACAAAACTTAATAAAGAAAAGAAGGCTTCCGTTAGGATTCATACATACGTCTCCCTTTGCAGTGAAAACCATCTTCTGATCTGGTGTGCTTTGATTGATCGTCTATGTCAATCGTAAATTTTAAAACACATTCACTCCTTCATATATTTTCGAAAGCCATATCTGTTCAGTTTTTATCCAAAACGTAAACAAAGCCATTTCTAAGAATTAACAGATTTTGCTTTTTTAATCCGACATATTTCGATTAATTCAAACATTATTTTTAGTATCTGTCTATATCTCTGAAATGAGGTATTAAGGTTACTTATATTATTTACATTATTCAGACTGTTGTCCCCATCTTCATGGCCCAGTGGGTAAAGGCGTTGATTAGATCCAGTGCCTAGAGTTGTAAGTTCAATACCAGGTCACTTTCTTTTCTGGACAAATTAAAAACATTCCTACCACACACTGATACATACACAGAAAGCACACACTCAATTAAGCTGAAAATCGAATCATCCTTGATAATGGCTAAAGATATAGCCGAAAGCGCTCGGAAATATAAAACATTTGGACAGTTCTTACACACCCTTTGTCCAGAAAAGAAAGCTTTTGTCAGAACACAAAAAAAATTAAATAAAAAGATTAAACGCAGTACCTTGTCTGTCGTTTTTTAATGAAACATACATAAAGGATTGCTGCCTAAATATACAACTATATATATATATATATATATATATATATATATATATATAATCTTAAGTACTTCAAGTTTAAGAACAACTTTATCTATCCTACACATCCTTATAATCTGCATTTACTTCCTCCTGTTAAGTTCTATACAAGCTCTAACTTAAGTGGCACTTGGGCATTGTGTTGGGCAAACATTTAGTAAACATTTGGGTGTGTTAGTCTCCCTCATTCATTTGCAAATATATAAGGGAGTGAACAAAAGTTCTTAGCCTAACCAAATAGCCCTTCTAAAAAAAAAAAAAAAAAAAAAAAGAAGTTCTAATGTTTGGACATTAGTCAGATTTTCGGTCGGCCCGAGCACCCTCTCAGATATACAGTGATCTACTGAATTTTTCAATCACCAAAAGGAGGTTTTCTGTGTTAATAAAGTAAAAAAAAAAAAATGCAAAAAGGAAAACGTAAAATATCTTCTTCCCCGAACTGGTGTCGATGACAGGTTTATCTATTTTGGTAAAACAATCGTAAAATATTCCTTCCTCTTCTAAATAAAATTATTTTTCCCTTTTTAAATTAGCCAGACAGTCTTGAAAGAGAAACGGCGAACATGCAGATAGCGACAAATGTTTGGTGGTGAAATCAGTGCGGTTGGGAAAAAAAAAACAAAAAAAAACTGGAATTTTTAAAAGGGAACTTCTCTTGCACCTGGGATCCTCCAGAAGAACTCAGCGTGGGTGGCAGAATTAACGAACGCTGTTTTCATTCTCTCCTCTGCACCCCGCCATTTCTTTCTTTCTTTCTTTCTTATGTGCGTGCAAGGAGTGGTGAGTATGGATGAGTTCACGAGTGAATGAAACAATTTAAGTCGGGGTTTTTGCACTACCGTAAAAGAAATGAACCTCGAAAGTATTGTCTTTATAAAAACAGACAATCCACACATGAACACAAGGCAAAAACAGATACTTTTTGAACCCGGCTGAAAACAGTATTGCGACGATATGTCTACCGTCATGTTTTACATTGATAGAAACGATTCCAGTTGATTAGATGTTCTACTATCCTAGTCTGTTCATTTCTATCTAATTTTCAACGAGTGTTTCTTTCATCTTAATTTCATTTTTTTACGTAATTTTCAGTTCGTCTTTCTACAACTGTTTGTAAATTAGATAAAAAAAATAATGAATGATTTTTTTTTTAGTCTGACATTATTTCTTTCTTTTTTTTTTTTTACAATGATGACAAGGCCTCAAAGCCATTCGAGGTAGAGGCAAACAGAATATGAGGAACAATTTATAGAAATATGTGGCAAAGATAACGGTTAACCCTAGACTTGAACCAATCAAATGTGTCGTGATCGAGGAAGCATCCATTTTGGAGTTGGTTTCAAAAAGCAGAGGTTCCTGGGAAAAAGCTGCTTGAGCAGAACTTACATTTCACCAATGGAATACAAAGAGGCTGAGAGTGATTCACTACAATGCCCGTGGCATGGTGGGTCTTAGCCGTGAAAGTTAAAACTGGTGGAACTAAGGAATGTAGTTCATGGAAATAGCGATAGAACAGCGAAAGGCTTTCGATGTTTCATCTCTGGGAAATAGGATTGAAAGTAATTCAAATGTTATATTTATTTCACGTGTTTGAGTAGGCGTCCCCGATTTTTAAAATCTGAAATTAATATCTACTGGCTTAGAGATCAAAATCTTATTAAAAATATGTACCTCTCGACAGAAATCGAAACTATATTTGTATTTCTTTTCTAATTTAATCTGGTAGAGTACATTCTAACCTTGCGTGCTTTATCATTAAGCTACGGGAAGCCATTACAACAAAGTTCAATTTCTCTATTAAGAAAGGAAAATATTTTTTTAAACATTTCAAAGTCTATATCTGCTAACTTTATTTTCGTATTTGAAACATAAATAAAGTAGAGCTTCAGTAATTAATGGATCTTTTAATTCGACATAATTTCGATTTATATCAACTTTATTCTTTGTTGGTGCACGTGCTTGACTAGATATCCAATGAAAACGATGACATCAATAAGTACCTATATTGAGATATTAATGTCTTGGCATCTCTTTTTAATCAGAGAAACCACCCTCGAAGCAGGTGTGGTTTACCATTAAGCTACGGGAAGCCATTGGAGCAAAGCTACACTCAATTATCCTATTAAAAATGCACTTCCTTCGTTGGAACCTTTCGAAGTTCATATCTGTTTGCTTTACTTTTGCAACCGAAACGTAAATAAAGTAATTTGGGAACAGTTAAGAAACGGTGATTTTTAATGAAAAACGTGTAGACACAAAATATGACCTTTATATTAATAGAAATTAATTGTAGTATTTTCTTAATTTCTTAGATGTCTTTCAATTTGTGGGCGTTCAGATAAAAAGCAGCTGAAATTAAGATTGAACAAAGGTTAGTCGAAAATTTATTAATAATAATAATAACCATCTTTTTTTAAATTTCTTTAGAAAAACTCAAATGTTTACGTGAATTTATCAAGTCTGACGTGAAACATTAAAAATATACAGAGAAATTTTAAATAAACTTTTGATCAGTGGTTCATATATTTCGCATTTTTATTTACATGTTTATATTTTCAAAGTTGTAAAACTGACTGGAGTATATAAACTGAAAAGGATATTACTATTATTTTATTTTATTTTGATCTTCTCCGACTTAGATGTTTCGACCGGTTGATGGTGTTTGTATCTCAGCTCTTACTCACATCGGAGACACGACACATTCGTTAGCACATGCGTTGTTCTAAGCAGTTCTGCCATTTACGCACTCCCAGTGTTACCAGGTATACCTAACGCGCCGTGCTGGGTAGAAAGATTCCGGGAAATAGTGCCGTGTTCGTCCACTACAGGAATAAGGTGAACTGCTGCTTCGTACATTTCTCCGATGGGTCCTGTCAGGTCATGTGGCCTTTTTATTTTCTCCCGTTCCAACTTCACAAGGTTTTTAGCCCAAAAATACAACAACGTCT